CACCCACACCCACATCCACACCCTTGTCTGATGATGCAACTCAATGTTGCGAAACGTACGTCACTTATTCAAATAAAGAATATATAAAATGAAATTTATCTCTGCTGTTAAATCTATAACATTTGTTCTAAAATTGTTACCCATAAATGAAACAAATTATCTACGATATTTCTTTATTTAGAATATTGAATAATGTGTTGTAACTTTAAAATTTCTTAAAAAGTTTTTTGTTGTTCAATCTTCTAAGCCTTATTATGATTTTTGCTTGACGTCTTCAATCCCTGTTATTAAACTCTATTATTGGGAGCTCTTGTTCGTAGGTTTTTCAAATGGGGAGAAGGGAAAAATGCAAAAGATTCCACTTAAAATTTACATTCACTATTATTTTCTTCGAAAATATATGTGAGTTACACAAAAATTAATATTGATGCAAATAAAATATAAAATTATTTTATTAAAAATATTCTCCTCAATTGTCTAAATTAGAAATATATTTACCAATCAAATTTTACTCAAAAAGTGAATATATGTGGGTGTAGGTGTGCGGTCTAGCCTTGTGTTAACCCACATCCACATCCCATAAAGTTACTGAAGTATAATGTGATCTTTTTCGAAAATATTGATTATATTCATAGCTTTTTCCATCGTAATGCTTGATAAAAATATGCAAGGACTTTATATAAACATATAACGTTCATTAGACACTTGTATGGGAGAAAGTCCATAAAATTTAAATGTTTATCTGACAAAATCACCAATGGCACATTTATTTTTCCTTTATTATTAGCAATGAACATTTATGAATGATCATATCTTAAATATATTGCTTTTAAATATTATTCATGTATGTGTTTATATCACAGAGTCGAGGGACATATACCTGATGTGTGTAAAAAGAAGCAAAAAATCTTTGAATGAGTTTTGTTTTTTGTTTGATGCAGTAATATAAATGATAATTACCTTGATGGTTTTTGGCAAGTAGATATTTTTCATCAGTATAAATTACGAAGAAAATGAATTGGATCTCGTATTGAATTATTTCAATTTGAAAATCAATCATATGAATTGTTTGTTCAACAAAGGTGAACTTTCACAAAGTTATTTTAGAATTTTTGAAATGGAAACAAAATTGATAGATAATGTATGAAGAATTGGCTACAGATTCACGGGTAGTGCGATGCAATTGCGGGTGTGTGAGTGTGGGTGTCCGCGAAGAGAATATCCGCACCGGACACCCCACGGACACGGCCACGTCCACCCACACCCACACCCCACACCCTAGCCACACTCACACCCCCACACTCACCCGCGACACGTCACACCCTCCAGCGACACACCACACCCACACCCAACCCTAAGTAAATATTGTTAATGCTGATAATGAGTTTTAAATAATGAAACTAAAACTCATTTTGTAAAGAGAATTATACCAGTATAGTGTATTATAATAAAAGAAATAAGATCGTCTTGTTCCAAATTTAATGTTGGCAGATTTTATTTTCTGTTTATTCTTATAATCAGGTGTTCTGTAAAAAGAAAGATGTCGTACTGAACCTTTTCTCAGTACCATTTTTAGAAGTATTTTTTAGTTTGAGCTAGAAAGTCTAGAACTTAAAATGGTTTTAGCCAGAAATGCAGAACTAAAAAAGATTCTAGACTGTTTGGCTAGAGCTTGAAAAAAGATTCTGAAAATGGTACCCAGATCTAGAACCATAAAAAGTTCGAGATAGTCGCTAGAGCCTTTTTTGATTCTTTATGATACCTTTTCTTTTTAGAGAGTGACGAATATTTTTTTTTCAACATAGTATGATAAAATGAAAAGAGATAAGATAAGAAATGAAAAAAACAAAGCTTGTCAGCGCAGCTCCTTTGGAGCTGAAATATAAAAACTCACGTATATCCTTCAAACTTGTTACCCTAATGCATTATTCCTAAACTGAAAACTAGTTTTGGGTGCGGGTGTTGGATGTGGGTGGGTCTGCATATGTGTATGGGGTGGTTGTGGGTGTGGATATAACTTTTCTCCTTGGTTAACTCACACCTACACACACCCACACTCTAGAGATGTAACTTCGATTATTGTCCGAAAAAATGCTCTTTGTGAGAATGAGCTCTGATATTGAACTTGCATCCAAATGGAATTCTTTATTTACTAGCAAAAACAAAGAATCATTGTTAAGTTTTTCAAAAAATAGAAAAATCTAATTGAACTATTTATTTTGAGTCATTTGCTGTTGTCCATTCAATTTTCTTTATGAAGAAAGTCATTTGTGAACGATATATTCATTCCATAAAATTTGCTATTCTAATGATTAATTCCGTACTTCTCGTGGATATGAAAAACATTACCATGTTAATAAGAAACACCAATATCATTACGAAAGGTTAACCAAAGCAATTTTTATTTCTTCAAAACTATTATCAATTTGGATAATTCCTTGCTCGAGTAAATTTTTTAATAGTTTTCTATTGCGTTTTAATTTTAGTACATCGATAAAATGTTCACCATTCGAATTTCTTCTTTGTAAGTCACATCCTATTTCGATTAAAAATTCGGGCCAGATGATGTCGACAACCGTTTACCTTGAGACAAACATAAAGTAGTGGATCATTACCATCTGCATCTAACCTATGAACTAATATTGGTGATACTTTCAACAATTTTTTCACAAGTTTACATTCTTTCTTTTGTAATAGAATAAGTAACAGATCTGTCTTTGTTATCCACGTTCTCAGTGGCTCCTCATCGAAGAGTACATGAAGTAACTGTGTTTTCTTTCGATTTTCTGTCATAATATCGACATATTTTCGGTTATTCCAAGACCTTTCAAATAAATTCCATCCGTGTTCATCGTTGCGATAAATGAATCGAATCATATCGAGTCGATCGTTCTTGATTAAGTGACCTATGAGGTGTTGAATGGTATGATCGTTATCCCATGGTATTGTATCTCTTAGAGTATATTCATTAAGTAGAATTTTCAATATCTCCATTTGACTTGTGTGAATAAATATCTCTTGATCTATGAAACGTTCATTCAAATTAATCATTTTAGATATACCCAAAAAGGTATCATCTGTCCAGAGTTCGTCAGAAAGCAGTTGTTTCAAACATTGAATAACAAAGAGAAGTAAATCTAATCGAGCATGCTACCAATGGATATAAGTAGAGAGAGATATAAATTGACAATGCAAGTACTGTAATCGATAGATTGAGTATAATAGAAAATAGTGAAGCAAACGAAGAGTTCCACTTTCAGCTTCGCCTTTGTTTTTAAGAAGCATTGGATTTGAAATAATCAATGCTTTGAACATTCTTATTAGAGAACTAATAAATCGTTGATGGGCACATTTTATATTTTTGACATTTGCCAGAAACAATTGCTGCACAGCATTAGCGAAATTGAATTCGTGTGAATCGTCATCATGACATTCGAGACGAGCATCTTTAGTAAGAACAAGAAATTCAATTTGTTTCATAGTCATAACAGATTTGGAATTGAAGGGTGATTCTTCTTTACAGTATGTACATACTGAACATAATGTGGATCGTAACTCATTGAATGTTTCTTTTAACTCATTGTCAAGATTAGAAATTTCAACATCAGTGCGATGTTTACGTATAATTTGAAATTGTTTAATACCTGATTGGAATCGATCACCTGATCGCTTGTATTTTTCTTCTATATAAGAGGAAACTAATGATTGAATACACTGATAAAGCTGTTTGTCATGATCAATTGTCGTCAGAGGCACGAACTGTTGAGATATTTCACAGAATGAATCAGAATCGTAATAACCATTAACATCTGCATTGCCGATGCTCGGGTATAAAAAAAGCAGTGAATAAATGTAAACATTTATCAGCAAGAATATTGCTTAGACGTTGATTTAAACCAGAGAATGTTCGGAATATAGTATAAGCATTGCCAGTATATCGTATTATAATCATTAATATTTCATCAGGTAATGTCTCAAAGGTAGATGATGAAGACATTCTATGAGAAGTATGTTTTTCTCTAAATGTTGAAAAACAATTATTGACGAACTATTATGTAACACATGTAATTGTGCAATGTCATATATTGTTATTAAGTCAATTTACTACTCTTTTTCTAGTCTGCACATCAAAAAAATAAAAACAAAACTTCCGTAAGCACGTGTTGTTTTTTCTTCAATGTATAGAACAGAACAAAAAGACAATAGATAAATTGACTGAATCACCGCACATGTATTGTGTAATAACATATGCATGCAAATTCGTAGCGGAGACTTTTTTTTAAATGTGGCATTTCCTACATAGATATAGATACAGTCAAAGATATAAGACGAGAAATTGATCAGTGGTGCTGGCAACTCATCATTTTTAGTCATTCATTATAGAATTCGTTTAATATGAAGAAAAAAAATTTGATTCGAGTCGAAATAATTGAATGAATGTGGGTGTGAGTTTTCTCTTCTCACACGCACACGCACACCCACATCCACCCACACCCACACGCATACACACAACCACCCACACCCACACGCACAGCCACACTCACCCACATCCACACCCACTTCTGAATTCCGCTGAAGTATGAGAGACAAACAATCATCCTTTATCATTTATTGACAGAATAGGTAGATGATAATATCATCTTCTTATCAATGTTAATAAGCAACTGTTTCTTTAGATAATAATTTCATTTGATTACTCATAAAAAAGAGATTTAATAATCAAATTCGTAGAAGAATCTTCGTTTATTTTGCATTGATGATTTTGACTCGTTTAGACAAAGAAACTTTGAACTTTATTCGATGACAAAATTATACGAAAACTTACAGGTAAAATTCTTGTCAAGAAATATTTATTGAAACATGTATTCAATGAATACAATTGTATTAAATATTTTTGCGTTTTATCGCATATATTTTTTTTTCAAACATTTAAGATTTTCAGAAAAAACTAAAAAAGATCTATTTGATAAGGATTGAAAACAAACATTTAATTTTTTTCCTTAATAATCCAAAGGTCTTAATCGATTATTTTAATTATTTTTTGGCAGAAGTTACTTACAAGCTATCAAGATTGGCCTAAAGATATTATAACAGAACAGAAGTTCAGCGATTCTTTCTTCCTCATTCGTGGCAAAGATAGAGGACAACCAGCATGGCATTATATCCTTGCTCCCATTAACAAACGTGCTGAGCTAAAGGCTCATTCAGCAGGTTCACATATAAATGTCACTGGTTTTGGTAGCATAATTAAATATCGAAATAACCGAGATCAAATCAAAAATATGTCTGGACGGGGAACTGATCCACCCAAAATAATTCAAAGATGGATTGAAATGCATTATAGTAAGAAAAGTCAATTTTCCAATATTTATCTACATAGTGAAATAGATTAGGCAACAAGAAAAAAGTACAATAGTTAAAGATTTTCATATCCATCATCCCTTTTTCACTCAGAAATCAGATTTTTAAAAGATGTGTTATTTGAACTATACGATGTTGTAACAATATCTTAATTAGTTATGGAATTATTTCAATATGAAATTTCAACAGAATGACTGTTATGCTCTTTAATCTTATTAAAATATCTTTGACGGCTTTAGTATTTTATACATTTAAATAAAGTTAATTCAGAAATAGAATAATAATTTGGATTAGTATAATAAATAAAACTATAAAATAAAAAGTTTCTCATGGAACTTACTTTGATAAATCTTGAGTAACTACTTCGTATGTTTTTGAACAGTGACATTAATAAATCTCTCAATTAACTTACGAGTAAAACAATTGGTAGTATTTTTTAAAAAGTGGACAACTAAATGTATGATGAGAAATTCTTCTCTTTTCAAATTATTTCTTTCATATAGGTTTTGTCGCTGTTGATGAAAGCATCAGTTTAACGTACACAAACGATGACATTCGACTATGCACAATGCAACGTGTCATACCAAAACAGATCTTAGGTTTTGTACGCCATTACTTTTCACAAAAACGATTCCACTATATTGAACTAATTGAAGATTTACCATCAAGTTTAGCTTGTCGAGCAGGACTAAAAAACTATGATCGAGTTATCTTTTTAAATGGTGTCAATATCGAAAATGATACTTATGAACAGTTATGGTATCGCTTTGATACAGCACGGCATCTTCCAGTTCAAATGCTTGTCTGTAGCCCAGCTACATACGAATATTATACAACTAATAAAAAACAATTTCATCTTGATCTTACAACTATTCAACATTTAAAGCCAGTATATGCAACATCAAGTAAGAAGCATACATATAATCATTACTTATAGTCTATTTTTTTACATCAATTATCGATTTAATTGTAGCATCTGATTCTCATACAGATATACCAGCAGTTTCTGTTGACAAGAAAAGTTTTTATGCTGTCCGATGGGAAAATAGTGGCATTGTTTCAACGGTATCTCAATCAGCCGTTTTTAAGTCACCTGAATATACTCATGTAAATGATGTCTGTTTTATCGAAACAATAGGACAATATCGAAAGGGACAAATTATTTTTAAAGGTCTGTTATTATGAATAAATATTGTTCAAAAAACCAATTCGTTCACTTTCAGGCTCACAACATGATTGTGAAAAGTTCAAGACACCTTTGTTTGCATCAAAAATCGGCAATATATTTAGTACTTTTGCTAATTTGTTCATTGGAAAAACGTCAGCTAGCTCTGACTTTACTGCAACTTCCAGGTCTAATTATATTGGAGACAAGTATACATCCACATCAGATGCTACCATCATATTATCATCACAAAAATCCTCTCAGGTATACGTTTTATCAATGAGTTGATTATGCGTCAAGAGTTCTATTTATACTAAATTCGACTAGTAAAAATTATAGAAAAAAATGTAATTTGAATTTCCTATTTTATATAATGCACGACCGAAAAGAGATATCATAACGGAATATTTATTTGTTTTAGAGTCTGCAATCCGATACAATACAAACTGATATAACCGCTCCCAATGCAAATGATAATAATGAAACGAGGCATCATACTGACGCTCCTCAGCACATTCAAAATCGTAAGCTATAACACAATGTCATTCTCGGCAAAGAGATAATAAGGAAATATTCTCAGATGTCGGAGAGCTTTTCAGCCGGGAGTTGGTGCATCATGTAAGTCCTAGTGAACTATATTTATTCTCAAAAAAGTTTAGGCTTGTGACTTTTCTTTGAGAAGATGAAAAGTTTGCAGTGAGCTTTCACTATGAGACCCGATATTTGTAGTAAAATCATATTATCAAATCTTGACCTGAAACGTTGGGTATATAGAAAATTTCAGAGTTTTTAAGCACTATATGTTGTGTTAACTATTCATTGAAAACGAACTATACATTGGAAGTTCCATATTTCCGCGAGACACATCTAACATTTCTGAGTCTTCTAATACAACCAAAAGTTCAGATCAAAATTGAACTATGTGATCTTACTCCAAATATCGCGTTCTTTAGTATAAGCATTCGATCGTCTTAGAGACAAACCATAAGTACGCCTTACTTCTAGGATTGAAATGTCCACTAATATCTAAAAAATACACTAACTTCTGACTGGAAGCTCTCTGACACTTAAGAATATTCTCTTGTAAGACTCTGAAATAAAAACGTCAAAGAAGATCTTCAACCGATAGGTTTCTCTCATTTTTTTTAGCATAAAATATACAATTAAAGATAGATACCGCCTAAGATCATGATTAAAATAGTGCTCTGCAAGGGATGAGTCTTCACAAAGGCACTCATCTTCAAGCTAATTAACAGGTCACAAATACTTTCATAAAGTGATAGTACGGTTTTCAAACTATTATTTTATATGAAAAAGAATAGCATTTAATTTCTTATATGAATAGCAACAGAAATGAAACAGATACTTCTCAATAGCATCAAAAAAGCAAGTGAATCAAGACTTGCTGTATTTTCCTCTTCTCAAATTCAGTCACTTTCGCTAAGTGTACGTGTGTGTGTTACTGTTAGCGTTTGAATAGAAGATAGTGTTGGTGCTAAATGGTATAGATGTAGATACATACATAAAAGTTACTTTCATCAAAAACGGTACAAGTTTACTTTTTTTTCGATGCTTTCGTATAAATAATATTTTGAAGTGTTGAAATATCACTAATTGCTTGAATAGGTGTAGATACGCGATATTACTTGAGACTTGGGCAAGCTCTTACTCCCGATCGGATCCAGTGCTCGAAATCCGATCCAATAGCAGGACACTAAATGAAAACAGTATGAGTAGTGTCACATCCAAAATTTTGGAGATGCGCCCACATCTCTCGCAGTAAATGCCGCATCTCCCGCGCTAGACGTGGATGCATCTCCAAAATTTCGGATATGTGACACTGCTGAACAGTATTGAATATTATGTTGCTCAAATACTATCATAATACTGCCAAAAATCATTTCTAATATAATGACTGTGACCCTTGGAGAAAATATTTTTCTATTTGTTTTTCTTTGATTCATTTTATGTGTATGTACTACAGTGGAAGAAATTCCAAACGAATTATTGTACTATATATTCACTTTTATCGATATTCAAAACTTATATCAAGCTTTTTGGGGGCTTAATTCACGACTAAACCATATTTTGCAATCCTGTAAAAATCTATCTCTAACATTCGACAATAAAGTTGATCCGTTGTTGATGAAGTTATATACATCTTACGTCACTCGTTTAATTATTCCAACATCTAACTATTGTGATTTTAAACAATTTCCTAATTTACATGAATTGGTATTGTGTATTGAAAACTCAAAACAACTTGCACAGATTCAACCTAGTGCTATTCCCAATCTCACTCATCTATCGTTTATATTAGGATCTAATTTCACTTTGACACAGGAATTAACTTGGGATGTGTTCTCCAATGAATTCCCATCTCTTCGGCACGTTAGTTTGGGTCATATAGATGTGTCTATCTGTGATTCATGGACTACGTCACCTTCTCTTCAGTTTGTATCAATTCTTTCTTGTAAACCAATGTGTATTCCAGTCATTCTTGCTGCATGTCCTAACCTTCAACATCTTCAAGTACACGTGTTGTATAATGATAATAATGATCTTATCATTGCAACTTCACCAATGAAACATCCGCTTCGACGACTGACTCTTTGGAGTGATGATGCTGAGTTAACTTTCAATGTTATTGACAATATTCTTACATATACATCAAACATTGAATATTTCTATTTACAAACAATATATTCTATGTCATTAATTGATCTAGCTCGTGGTCTACAGAAACGACTTCATTACTTATCACGATTTGATTGTTATATTACAGAAATGTTAACAAAAAACGATAGAATTAATAATTTAACTGCTTTACATGAAATTCATCCTTGTTTTAATCGAATTCAATCCATAAAAGAAAATGATAAATTTCGAGTTTTAGCTACGAAATAAATTTTCAATACGTTATGAGAACCTGTTTTGATAAGATGCCAGTTTTTTTATTTTCGCTAATCGTTTCATTGATCTAATATAAAGTTTTATCATGTGTTTGGTATTATTCAAATAAATTTTGGGTGTGTGATTGTGGGGTGCGGATGCTTGATGATGAGTAGAGTGTACCACACCCACATTCAGTCACACCCACACCCTGTGGGTGTATTATCAGCAGTAAGACTCACACCCACAACCTAAAGAGAGCAATTTTCTCTATTGAATGGTCATGTTAAAAATAAAGATCAAACCGAAAATGCCTTTAGAATTTCAATGTCAAAATGTCCATCAAAAATTCACCTGATTGGTCAATTATTAACCAATTCAATTTGATATATTTATAGCCCCGACATTTCTCTTTCGAATGATGAAAACCGCAGGTTTTTATCTAGTTTCTATCAAAATTTATTCAAAAAACCGTAAGATCTCTTTTACTTTGAAACGAATAGTAATTTGAATATATTCGAATATATCGGAGCCTTTCGATAATTTTGTTTATTCTCCAATTTTACTTTTATTGTCGAGATCTGGGTGAGAGTGAACTCATAAAAATGGTATTTAATTCTTTTGTCTGATATTAATTGAAGAAAATGGGTAGGATTGAGGTCTCATGAATGGAGAATTTTATGCTCTGTAGCTCGATATTATCTTCATATGAAACAGTGATCAGAGTGTGTGGGATCGTATTTTACTAATACCCCTCAAGTAGAAATATTTTTGTATATCTTTCTGTTCAGTTTTCTACAAAACCTGTCAGAGGAATCAACAGGATTTTTTGATAGTTATTGCAGAGAGCATCGGCAACATATCTTTTGAAAAAAATTCAAGATTTTAGCATTTGAGCATGCAGGAATAAATACAAAATAAGCTATTTTGTTAACATTTTGGAAGATCCGTATAAACTTAGAATGACATCCGTAAACTGTCCACAAAATATTGAGCCTTCCTAAGCCTAATGGCTTCACCGCCTATGGATTCAGATATATTCGACGTTGTTTTACTTATGCGTGCGTATCGTGATACATCCGATGAATCACATGTAGCTAAACCAAGTAATGAAGATCTCATTAAACTTTGCCATAATATCTGTCGGTCTTGTTCTTACAAACCATATTCCAGCTGACAATCAATTTTAAGTGATCTATATGTTAGTCCAAATGCTCTTGGTTTAGGTATTGTGGGTTTATTATTAAAGCAAGCATATTAAGAACAAGCTCGTCAACGTACAAATATTCATTCAATTATTTGGCAAACATCAATAGATAACTATTCAGCACAAAAAACTTATAGAAGACTTATGAGGATTATGAATTAGTCTTATTTGAAAAGAATTAAGTAGTATGAATTTCTTTTCCAAATGATAAAAATATTTGCTCAAGTGTTGTTTGTGAAATCGTATATGTTTCAATATTTAATTGCTGTTTATTTTCTTCAATTAATTGAAATAATTCCGCAGGTGTAGTTTGTGATATATGAAATAAACCAGTTGAATTTGTTGTTTCTTTTATTTCAACATGATATTGTTTTTGTGATAATAAAAATGATTGAACATTATGAATTGGTGCAATATTTGTATCATCAGATATTGAGCGAACTTTTATTTCAATTGTATAGCCTTGACCAAATTTAGATTTTAAATGTTGAATTGTACCTAAACAAGCTAATTGTCCTTTAACCATGATACCAAGACGATTACAAACACGTTCACTAAAATAAAAATTTTGATTTTATGAAACACGACTTAAAACGATTGTTGAAATGTATAAAAGTAGAGATTTACCACTCCACCCTTCCCTCACAGACCGTGACAGACATTTTTAGCAATGCCTTCCTTTCGTAACAGACATTTAGTATAGCATTCTCCTACTGATAGACCATAATTTACATACTCGGGACACACTGAACAGAGACCGAAAAACGACGTGAATCGAACCGAAATGATCTTTTTCAAAGTTTAGTCGAACTGGACGATATGGATTCGGTTTGGGTTTATAGCAATTCTGAGTTTTGGAAAATCATGTTATATATTTAACGATGTGCTATCATTCCTTTTAAGTGCGTAGTCAGTTGAAGAGCACTCAAATTAACTGATTATTAATCGCCAAAATAGTAAATAACAGCTTGCTTCAATTAGTTTTGTTGGCCCCAATCGAACTGGAATTGTCATTTGAAAAAATTGAGTCGAACCGAACGGAAACGAAAAAGTTGGGTTCGCTTCGAGTTCTGACATTGAATTCTACCGCAGGATCAGTATGAAACACGACTGAATATAAGCTACCCGTCATTTGCGCTTCTCTTACACTCACTGTAATATAGTATCGTTAACATCTTTCATCACCAACATTAACAACAGGTAGTAAGTCACGACTCAAATATACACTGATAATTTTCCTCGTTTACAGTGTAGACAGGTTCAACGTGTTTGACAGTTTAATCCCACAGGGATCGCAGTAACAGCTTTTTATTTTATTGATTGTTTTTCTTTTCTTACCATTCATCCATCGAATGACTAGTTAAAATAATTGTTAATTTAGCTTTAACAGCATTTAAAAATATTTTTTGCATTTGTTGTCGAGCATTTGGATCAACACCCATTGTTGGTTCATCAAGAATAGCAACTAATGGTGGTCCTTAAAAAACAAAAAATTTCATCCTATCATTTTTTGTTTTTATCTATTTTACCAATCAATGCCATTGCAGCATGTAATCGACGTTTTGTACCACCACTTAATTGATGAATATAATTATTTAAAAATGGATCAAGTAAAAATAATGAACTCATCGTTTCAGCAATCGTTTTTATATGTGAAATTTTTACACCACGTATACGTGCTAATAAATAAAGACTATCTTGAACAGTTAAAAACTCCATACTACAATTTTCTTGTGGACAATAACCTAAATGACGTGTTGATCTTATACGACGACGAACATTTTGTCCATCTATATAAGCTGTGCCTTGTGTGGATAGTAAATCACCAATTATAACACGAAATGTTGTAGTTTTTCCAGCGCCCTATTTAAATTAATTAGAAAGATTGTTTTTTAAAAAGTATTTTATATATTTACATTATAACCAAGTAAACCAAATGCTTCACCACGTTTTGCACCAAAGGTTAAATGATTCACAGCTAAAATTTTACGTCTTGGATAATATTTTACAAGATCATTAACTGTTAAATAATCAATATGTTCATCATCATCATCATCAAATATATTTGTTTGTAAATCTAATATTCGAGAACGTTCAACTAAAACATCATCATCAAGTGTATTTTCATCAAAATTTGATTTATATAAAAATGAAAATGAAAATTTTAATAAACCAGTATCAATAATGATAATTAATGATAATAATAATGATATATGTAAAACAAGAATAAAACAATTCCATCCAATTGTATCATCCCCAATTGATTCAAAATGTGGCATTTTAAAATTAGTAATAGCTGATTTACAAGATATACTTTTTTCTGCTAAAATATATGTAACTATAACTTGAGCATTGATACTTGGGGATATTATATTAAATAACCAATATAAAAGCATTTGAACAGATGCATTTGCAGCACTCATTGTTATTACTGAGACAATAATACTTATTACATGAAGAATTGTTAATATAAAACATATTGACATCCCACCCTGAAAATAAAAATGAATTTTAGTCAACAGCCATTCATCGAAAGTTATAGAGCGAAAGAAGTGATATTTGTATCACTTAACTCACTAATAAGGGAACCGTTCGAAGTGACTCAGAGATTTTGATCTGATGTTTGCCCATCAGTAAGATCAGATAAGACTAGAATACATCTAAAATGATAAAGACCCATATGGCTTCCCTTCCAGAGTTATGACCATTTTACAGACTTTCGCGTTATACATGATATTTAATGTAAAGAATTGAATGATGAAGATTCGAGCTGATATTCTTCTCATATATAGGTCTCAATATATTTAGAATATCCTCAAAAATTTCAGGGCAAACGGATGTTTCCTTCCCGCGATAATGAATGCAGCACAAGAAATACCTACATTTCACAGAGCGTTGACAAAACTGAATTTGTTTGTACACTCATTATTACGGAAAGGAAACACCCGTTTGCACTGAAACTTTTAGAATGTTCTAAAGACGTTGAGATCTTTATATGAGGAGAATCTCATATCGAAATCTTCGACATTCAATTTTTTACAGTGAATACCATGTATAGCATGAAAGTCAGTATTACAGACAAAATGTCAGATTAAAAGCTCTAAATCACTTCAAACGGTTTTTTTTGTAAGTTAGAATAATATATTCATCTTCTCTAGAGATGTACGAGATCAAAAATATTTGCCAGCATTCGATCTAGTCGACAATTCTATAACAATACATACATTGATATCATTTTTAAAAAGTTTGGTTAATAAATAAGTAAATGGTAATGTTGGCAATATAATTAATATTGTTAATGGATAAAATTGTACTCGTAAATCCCATGGCCTAAGAAATTCAAATAGAATTGTATTTTCTGTTTGAGATTTCTTGTTTGGTATACCATTAAAAGCAACATGAAATATACAATAAACAGCAAGTAAATAACAAAACCATATAATAGAAATAATTATATCAAAAAGATAAGTAAATATCCAATATGATGCTGGACTAAAATGAAAAATTCAATAGTTTGACTAGAGGTATAAGAGCATAGAATGATTACAATGTAAAATCAAGAGAAATTCTGTCAACTTACTGTAAACCACTAATATGAAGCAATGATACAAAGTTATCTTTTCGTTCGTTGATTAAAAATACAGTTACATAGAAGAATAGAATGTAAAATATTAATCTAAATAAAATAGAATAAAAACTTGTGATTATTAGTTTTTTAAATATTGCATACATATCAAATGATAATGTTAATGGTAAGAATTTAAGAATACATGATATTGTACTTAAGTAATTGAATATATCCTTAATGGATGGTTGCGTTGTCAAATTTCCTATTTTTTTATAGATCAATGTCGTTTGAATTGATGCACCTGTATCATTTAATACGTATTTATAAAATGTATTTGATGCTAATGAAATAACTTCATAACCGGATATTAAATTTGATGATAATGTTTGAATTTTATATTTATTTCTAGTTGGTTTTGGAATATTGAAAGCAAGATAAATATCTGTATATGTGTATGGACGATCCATTCGTTTTTCTAAAATAACGAAAAAAAAAAGAAAACGAAGATTCACTCATTTTGATGATAATAAACTTACGAAAAATCTCTCGATTCATTTGGAATATATCTCCTGATCTTTGTTCAAGTATTGCACCATCAATAGATGCACGAAAATATTTTTCTATCATTGGATCGGTATGATATAAAATAGTTTGTGGATTAAGTGAATTTAAATTCATTTTAAATATTCCACTTTCAGTATAACTACGTGATGTTATATTTGATAAAAGATTGTATAAAATTGGTAATAATAAAACAATTAGTGTTAATCCCCAACGACGATAACGTACAAGTAATGTATTTATTATTAAACCATGACATTGACTTAAATGATACTGAATACCGCTAGAAATATGTTGATCATTAAATACATAATGACATTGTTGCTCTGAGAATAACGATAGAAAATATCAAAGTTACGCTGAAAGAACTGTTCATATTGTTGAAATTTGAATTTCTCTGTAGAGAATTGACAGTAATCTTTCATGGGCAAATATATAAAACGAAATCACCACACTTCTTTCCGTAATATTTTCCTTACTACAGCTTCTAATTAGATCTAAGGGTAACCCGAAAGCAATTAGAAAGGTGCTGATATTATATTAAGATTTCTTCATTCTTATCATCCTCATCCACACTCACAAGAAAGCAAATGTTGTGGGATCATCTATCTGGAGTGCAACATTTATGCTTCCATATAAATCATATTTGATAGTTTAGTACTAGGATGAAAATCAAGTACGTTAGTGATCGACATCAGAGTTTCTATAGTTGTTTGAGTTTCCTCGGATTTATAGTTAATTTATGATAACTCAAAATAGAGATCTTATGTTCTATAGTGACCGTCGAAAACAAGCGTTTTAAAGCAAATTTTAATTTAATCAGATCACAAATAACAATAAATAAAACATTTCGCATGGCCATTCGAGATGTACTTCTAATGTTTTATGTTCTCTTTTAAGATTTCCAAAAAATAAAATTCCCCTTTAACGATATTAACTAAATGATCAAACCCAACAGACTTTTAATATTGCTATATAACGACTATTTTTATATCAATGCTTAAATTAAGAATCGAATCATTTCTACTTGCCTCTTCCTTTCATCTTACATATATAAATAAAAGTTAATTACAAACCTAATATATCAGTATCCATTGATATTGATTCTGATTCATTCTCAATATTTGTATCTCTTGTGAGTTTTAGAAAAACATCATCCATTGTACTATTTTGTACTCCATAATCTTTAATTCGATTTTCTTGTTTCATTGTTTCAAGATGATGTAATGCTTGTACAAATTGTTTATTTGGTTGTTGATTTGTACGAAAAACAACATCACCACCATGTATATCTATTTCAATTTTTAATTCTGGTAAATAATGACATAACACATTTTTAATATCATTTGTATAAAAATTATTCTGTTTATTAATAATTAATTTATAACCTAAAATTAATAATTTATTCTTAATCAAAACTAGAAATTTTGTTTTACCTGATCCATATTTTTCTTTTAATTTAGCTGATGTTTCATCGGCTTTAATATTTCCATTAGCAATAATTATAATTCGATCGGATAAAGCATCACTTTCTTCCATAAAATGTGTTGTTAATAAAAGTGTTTTACCTTGTTTCATTGAACGTAACCAATCCCATAATAAACGACGATTTGATGGATCAAGTTCACTTGATGGCTAAATATATTTAGATTTATTTTAATAAAAACAAAACATTAAATAGATTACTTCATCAAGAAGAATTATTTTTGTATCTCCAATAAATGCACAAGCTAATGATAAACGTCTTTTCATTCCACCAGATAATGTATTACAATAAAGATCTTTAAAATTTTCAAGATCCATTAAATGAAGCATTTCATTTGCTATTTTTTCTTTATGTTTTTCATATCCTCGTGCTATTGCATAAAATTCTATTTGTTCTTTTATAGTTAATAAATCAAAAAGTATATCATGTTGGGGACAATAACCCATTGATTTTCTTAACATTTCCATATTTATTCGTGTATCAAAATTTTTTCCATCATTATTTTGTATTTTTATTGTTCCTGATGTTTGTTTATATATACCAATTAAACAATTAAATATTGTTGTTTTTCCCGAACCATTTGGTCCAACTAATGATGTTATTTGATTTTCATATAAATCAAATGAAACATTATCAACAGCTATTTTATCCGGACCAAATTGTTTTACAAGATTATTAACATGAAGAATAGCTGTATCAGTTGAATTTTTTCTTGAAAGTAATGAATCACGATCAGGTAATGATTGTGTATGATGATCAAGTTTTTCTGAACGCCAATAATCTCGTTTAAAGAGAAAATTCCAATCAAGTGAAATACCATATTCACCTAAAAAATTTTAGATAAGTCCGATATCAATTCAACGAATGAGATTGTCGCCTTCCCATTCTCTGCAAATGAAATGTTTATGAACGAGAACGCTAATATTCCTAGTAACGAATACATCATCAGTATCCTTGCAACCTCAATTCATATACGCAAGTACAGCAATATCCGTATTTTAAAAAAATCATGTCTTACTTTCTCCTGACAAAATTTAGAAATTTTGCCTTCCTCTTGAATTTCCGTTTCAGGAATGGGAAATGGGAGATACGTTCTCCGTTCCAAGAACGTAAAACATATAATAATCTCACATAAAGAGATCATCAAAACTATATAAACATCTTGGTATATGTAAAAAATCGTAGAATACGTCATATGCAATGCATTATTCTCCTACCTTGAGAGTAGAACACTGACATTCCTACCGACAGGTTCTAAAATAGCGATGAAGACTCCTCCTGTAATGGAATTACCCTTTCTCATCTCATCTTATTTCATCCCATTATCCCTTGGGAGAAACTTCTATTACATAAAACTGTTTTTTAAAGATTATTGTAAGTGTGTGCTCATAAGTTGTACTGTTTTAAAATGTATATTATAAATGCGATATCCCATGGGATGAAAATTATTTTCATAGTTGCCCAATGCTATATAAGACAGGCGACGATCTTTGATCCCATGGGATTTATGCAAAAATCTGTTTAGATATTTACTTGGAAATACTTTTTCGAAATACCAAGATAATAACCAGTAAAAAATACAACTACAAATCATAATAATCAATGTTGAAAAATAAATTGGTACATAACGATAAATCGATTGAAATAATGATATATCTTTTTCTGCTAAATCATGTAAAACTGCTTGCTACAAAAAGAAAAGTTTTTCTCAATATTTCAATACAAAAAAAATAAAAAAAACAATTCCTTACCTGAAAAAGTGAATATCCAGCAATATGAGGACAGAAAAATATCAATAGATATTGTATCGATGTCGGCCAAAAAATTGTATATGAATAAATTTTTGATGATACAAGATAAATGACAGAAATAGTTAATTCTGCACGATCATTTTTATCAAATAATTGTGCAATCATTATACAGAATGAAATTAATTGTAAACTGAAAATTAAATAACCAAGAAAGAGAATATGAAAATTAACTGTAAGAAAATATCCATTTGGTTTTTGTTTCAATACAATACATAAGAATAGGATTAAAAGACAAAGAATAATTAATGTCCTATGAAATAAAAAAAAAAAAGAATGTAGGTTTTTAGAAAAAGATTATTTTTCTTTTACCGAATTGCGTGAGCAAAATTATTTAAAATTGGTTCAATTCCAAGTATTTTAAGAATTTCTTTAACTTTAGCATTCTTCTCTTGAATTAAACTTGTTAGAAGAATAAAATATCTAATTAATAAACGAATGAATTAATCTGCTGATTCTAAATTCTTTTACTTACGGAATAAGAAAGATAAAGTCAATGAGAAATATTATTAAACTTGATAATCCATTTTCTAGAAACAAAAAAAAAATCTAACGAAGTTTATATTAATTTCATCCTACCAAAAATTAAATTTCTACGAAATGGTGTACAAATCATAGGAGTTCTTTCAAGTTCATATTCAATATTTTTATTCGTTTGATATTCAATAAGTAAGGAATCAATAAATATTTTTACATCTGTAAATGCAGGTAATTTCGAATCTTGATATCTATTATTATCCATTATATCCGATCGATCATCAATGAGGCCTAAATAATTGAATTTCTATATGATTAAATTAAAAGAATTAGTATTTACTTGGATGTAAAAATGATATAAACGACATATCAATCGGATCATTTTTTGGAATAGTATACGGCTGTCGAACTATTATATTGTCTAAAAATGAAGAATAACAAGCGATTGTTGTGATAAATTTATTTTTTTGATATTTCAATACTCACAATTAATATTTCGTTTATTTTTAAGATTAATTATTGAACCAAAATCAATAATAATTGTATCTTCTTCTTGATTTTGTAATAAATAACTGTCATTTCTATCATTTATATTTTGACTCCTTTATAAAAACTTTTGTTTTCGATATGATTGATATATTAAATAAACTTACCAAACTTTCATGTTATTACAATTCATTTGTTTGAGACGTTTTTTAGCACATTTAACAAGTTCTTGAGTTTCATTTGCCATAGGATGAAAAATAAGATTTATTTTATTGAAAATTGTTTCGTACTCAAATGGAATCCATCCATGTTCTGGATAACTTGATGGAAATTTAAAACATTTCTTTAATAAATCATTTGATAAAATTGTTGTAGAATTTATATTTTGTGAACATGTACGATGATTCAAACCTCTTATTACTGACTCAGGATTTGCATTCATTCCTTTAAAAATTGCATTTGTTCCATAACAGATTAAAGCTAATAATGCTATTAAGATAATAGGAAATAATAGTTCACAAAGTATTGTTGGACAACATTTACAACATCGTTTCCGATATGAATAACGAAGTGAACGTTGAAGTAATAAATTTATTTTACGAATTGAACCAGTTGGTGAATATTGACCTTTTGTTAAATGTTGACGATATTTATTAGATTCAGATATGCCATATTCAGTTGAACTATCCATTGAATTATTATTTAAATTGTATACACGTAATTTACATGTAAATTTTAGAGTATCAGCTTTGATAATAAGTGTTTGAAATGATCTATGATTATAATAAAACGTGTTTTTATTTATAGAATAATGTGTGCATAGGGTTATTTAGGATGGTATTTTTCCAAGTGAATCAGATTTACATATTTTACTTACTGACAGCAGACTTTTGTCAGGCTGTAATTAATAATCATTCTTATCTATTATTATATCTGGGAAAAAATTCAAAACTTAGACGCATAAAGAGAAACACAATAACACCTCTGTGTTAACTTACGAGTGTTTTTCTCGGTCAAAGGCGACGAAAGGATTAATTCAAATGTTGATACCTTGTAACAACTGATTAATGTAAATTCTTCAAAAATAGATGTCCATCCAGAAGAGAAGCTCAGTCTCCGAGTTATAATTTTCCAGATGTGATAGAAAAAGGAGTCAGGTCGAAATTTAAACATATACAGAAATTAACAAATTCACTCATTCTGTTAATAATGTCTATTTTTTTAAATAAATATATATGTGTCAAAATCTATTTCTTTCGTTCTTCATTTCTTTGACTTACGACAAACTTCGTTCATCAGTGTAGATGCGTCAGACATGATGTACTGGGAAAAAATTTTTTGAGTGTGCCCTTCCGCATTTTTAGTTTTTTCTGTAGTTCTCCTCTGTTATGTGTGACTTTCCTTCCTTGATGTTCTTCATTATGGGTTTATTCTTGCCTCTACTAACATTTGTATCATTCCTTTCCTTGTGTGCACTGTCATTTTTATTTTCCACTATTACTTTATTGACGATCACGAGTATTACGATAAACAAAGCATAAACAAAAAAAAAACATTGTTTTTCCTGTTCTGTATTCCACTTAACTCGTGCTAAAAGATATTGACATACACATTTTAATACTTCTACTCCAACGTTAGTACGTTCACTTAGTAACAGATATTCAAAAGTAATTCAAATTGGTAATTAAAACTCATTTGAAACAGAAGAAAATCAGTTATTATTATTACATTCTTTAACTCAAGTAAATGACAGTCAATCTGACAAGAGTTGTCTAATGCGAATTTGGATATAAATCAAGAGTTTAGGGAGCAGCATCGAGTCAAAAATAAATGAAAAAAAAAACTAAACTATAGGTTTTTGGATCGTCCGGAAAAATAAAAAAGATGGAATATATATATAGGGACTAAGGCTCCTCATGAGATGGAATGTGACGAAAAACAGTCGTTCCATTATAGTGGAAGAAATTTTTTATTGTTCACTTTCCTGCTACAGTGGAATAAATGCAGAGGACATCTGTATCAAAACATTGTATTGCTGTTTAAAAAAAAACAGTTTTATGTAATAGAAAGCTCCGCCGGGATAAGACAATCCCATCCCATGAGAAGTTTTGATAGCGATAGGCATGTAGGTTTAGACAAAAGGAACAGAGAAAATTTTTCTTAGATGTACTGTGCACGTCAACTGACATTCACGTCTCTTGTCCTTTGTTTTTTTCTATTTTTATCACTAGGCGCCTAATTCTATGGATAGTTAATCATAAAGTTTTATATGAAAGAAAATTTTCTGAATACCTTGTGTTTTTATGGTTCACTACTCATGCAGCTATCCTAAAAATCATATTTAAGAAAATCTTTATCTTATCATTTTTTCTTAAACGTATAGTGTAGCTATATCTCTATATATACAGGGTGGTAAATAATATTATTCCAGGGGGGTAACACTATGATCTCGAATCGGAGATATCATGAATTTTATACCAAATGAAAGCTCGTGAAAAATGGGGTTTAGTGATAGTAAATAGTAAGACTTTGAAGAACTTTCTTGTATTAATTTATCAAACGTTACGATTTTTATCGACATAAAATATTATAAAATCAGTTCATCGAAAAAGTTCGGGGCTAAACTATATGTTGTACAACTGTTTATTTTCTTATTATTTATTGAGTACAATCAATAATCAGTATGACGACCATTAGCACTCTTTACTGCACGAAGTCGAGATGGATACGAACATAAAAGAGCTTCAAACAATTCGGTATTTTCTTCCATGTCCGTCAAAACATCCGCAATGTGCTTTTTAAGTGTGTCTTCACTATATCGATTATGTCCAGTTTCCGATAACATTTTTTGTTCAACTTCATCTTTCATTATTGATCCAATATGTTCCGCCGCATTGAGATCGGGCGAATTACCAGGCCAAATATCATTGCCCCAAAACTCGATTTTGTTATCTCTAATCAGATGTTGAGTCATGTTTGCTCGCATACACGGTGCTTTATCGTGAACAAATATCACATTATCCAGATCAATTACGTTTTCCTCGTCGGTGAGGAATGGAAATACGTGTTGCATTAAAATAATGTCACGAAAATATTGACCGGTCCAAGATTCACCTTTGTCTTTAATCACCCAATGCATTTTTTTCGCGGTGAAAATGATAAAAATACCGATACACGCTTGGTTTTTAACCATTTCGCGATACCTTTCATCGTCTTCAATATCTTCAACACTTTTTGCCCAAATCCTATCATTTTGATAATTTGGTTTGCGAACTGTCCAAACATAAAATTCATCTGATGGTGCCAGATGAAGAAAATCTTCTTCAGTCCAATCTTTCAACCAATCACAGAGCCATAATCGATCTGATATATGAGTTTCAGATTTTAACGGTCTTGAAATAACATGAAAAGGCTTTAATCCTTCCCTACGACGGTAGTTATTAACTGTTTGTCGAGTAACATATTCTTTTTGTTTCTTTGCAATCTCTTTCGCCACGACAGAACCGCTTTTCCGTTGGTGACCACTTGCTTCACGAATAATGTCCTGAGCAGCTCTCGATAACTTGAGTTTAGGACCAGCATTCGAATAATCAGCAAAACATTGGTCACACGATTTTTCCCACCATTCTGTAACAAATCGAGTCGTACGGTGAATTTTGTCGGCAATCCATTGTCTATTTATAAATGTTGCACCAGCATCACGAGCTTCTCGGAAAGTAATGCATTTAATTCTATCAATCATTCTTTGTTGTTCGGTATCATAAGCGCCAGCCATTTGAAATAACAAACGAAAAAACACTGAGATTTCACTCGACTATAACTTTCAGACAGTCCGAGAACGAAAAAATTTTTCAAATAACTAGTATCACGTGGAGAGAATAACAGAACGCCAAAGAACCATCTTATTGTGTGAGTCATAGTCATATATCATCATCGTTATCATTTCTCTTTCGTTTTCATAAAAAATGTTCGTTTTCAATGTCTCAAAATGTATGAAAAATGATTTTTAACGTGTTTTTGAAAGAAAATTTCGTTGTTTTTAAAAATTTGGTACACGAAAGTTCTTCAAAGTCTTACTATTTACTATCACTAAACCCCATTTTTCACGGGCTTTCATTTGGTATAAAATTCATGATATCTCCGATTCGAGATCATACTGTTACCCCCCTGGAATAATATTATTTACCACCCTGTACATGTATATACATTACTTATTACCAAAAACAAACAATTTTATCCGTTCTTCTTTTTCTCAACTTACAAGATTATCCATATATATATATTATTTATAAATTATGTCGAAGAAACAATTTATCTTTTTCTATTAATTAGACTTACAGGACTATCCCTTATATATATAATCTATATCAAAGAAGGATGTGGTTGTATGCTTTGCTAACACCCTTATAATAGTTTCATATTTTGTATCAAAGAGGTTTACAGATTAGTTTCATTTAAAAATCTATGTGTCAAATGAATCAACCAAATGAAGAACAAAGTAATAACTCTTTTCTCATGTGAAAATTGGATAGAACTCAGATTCGAACTACTTGATGCTTTTCTAATCCGAAGTTGTTCCAGAAACAAACATCGATGTTATTTTCATTTCATAAATTCTTTAAATGTTTTTCTTTCTATGTACACGACACAAAAGTGATAGATTTTTGGAATATAAAAGCATACAAATCCAAGAAAAATTCATTTTATTATCAATGAACTTTTGTTCTTCCCAGATTTATTCATATTACGAGAATAATTTTCAAAATTTTAGCATTAAACTTCTTCTTGTGCATAAAAAAACAATATTACTTAATAAATTAAATCTTCTGAAATCTATTTTATAATTTACTATGATGTTTGTTTAATACAATTCAATCAGTCTCATCATAATCTACAAGAACTAGTATTATCTATTTTAAAAATTCTAGCTACTTCTTGTTTTTTGTTTGTTAAGATAGATTTAAATATACTTTAGAAATGAATGAAAAATGTTTATTAAAGTAAAATGAAATTAATGCATTTGAGTTCTTCAAGTTCATTTTCCTCGCCTATCAAAATAACAGGTAAGATCATGAGAAAATTTCGTTTTCAAACAGTTGAAAGTCATTGTCACTGAGAGATATCTATTGTTTTGCTATCAATGTGCCTATTTATAGCAGATCTATTATAATTAATCTTCTCCATAAATGTACTTTTTCGAGTGTCATTCATTCCGACTATGTTGTCTTTTGACAAATTCTAAACATGTACTGTGTGCTACATCAATGTTGAAGTTAAAACTAGTCGAATAATAAGTTAATTTGTAATTTTTTCATTGTTTCATTAGATTTTATCTGGTTGAAATGATTATTATTTCGATTAAGTTGACATGTTTAATAAAACAAATAGAAAATATTTGTGTCGCTTTATTCTTCTATTCATGAAAATTGATATTTATAAACGATGTTCTAACATTTATTGGCACTTAAAGGTAAGTTAGAAATAAAGAGAAATATTTCGAGCATTATGAAGAAAAATATAAAATGAACGATGGTAAGTTGATACTTGGTATAAGGGTATATTGTTTAAAGTATGGATATGATAAATACTTTTAATGGGTTAAACTCATGCAAAGAAAAAACTACGATAATTATGACAATTAGTCACTTGAGAATCGACTTTTTTCTATAGAAAAATAAACTAGATTCTCGC